CAGACTCTTCTCCACCCTCTCTACCCTGCTGTCTTTATAGGGTATTGCTGTATGGAGCATGTGCACTAGCTGAGTTCCATCATGGGAGACCCAGCAGGAGTTGGGAGAGGGGAAGAAAATTAGGTCAGGATATTTATCCCTTGGACCATTCTCTTCAGGTTTCCTCTGGATGTCTACATATCCATTCATCAGAGGTCACTCCCAGAGCCACCTCCTCTACAGGGCTCCTTTTTTCTCAGGTTCCTGTCCATACCCTCTCTATTCCTAGGGGCTCTCCTGCTCTTACCAGGTTGCTACATGAGTCTTGGTGATTCCCCTTTACCCCCTTCAAATTTGTAAATAGTTTCTTAATTTATTGAGATGTCCAGTTCAACTGTGCCATCTATTTTCTGATGGGGCCCTGACTGATACAAACCATAAGAGGACAGCTCTCCCAGACCCAAATACTTCTAAGGCTCTCAGCTTGCCACTGTTTCTAGGAACAATCTGCTTTCTAAATGAGCAGGTCTCTGCTCTTTCAATCACAGAAAGAAGTGATTACTTTCCTCTCAGTAAATATCATTTGCAAACAGAAAACTCTGCCTACAAAGGCAGTCTTTGACATCTTTGTACACAGTGGCCTAAGCTTCTCATTGGCTGCATGTACTTGACTCTCCATCTAAGAGTAGGATGTTTGCTTTCCCTCTACACAACTGAGAGAGGAGAGTGTGTTCACACAGAGGAGGAGGGGATACAATGAACAACATTGTATCTTCTCAACCAAATGCCAGGAACAAGTGTGGAGCAACTTTCAGAGCAACAAAGAGTCCTCCACCAATGAAAACACAGTTGGCCCACTAAGAGTTGTTATGACACCCTTACCAAACTACTGGGATCAGAATAGGATGGTGATAATGTTAACAGACATATGGTCCTTCTCCCAGTTTCTAAATTGGCCCTTGAGATTGAGGTTCTCTTGATCTGGTTTTTAGGAAAGAAAGAATCTCCCCACTTTGCCTCATCTAACATCTTCTAAGTCCTATCATGTAGGGATTCATAAAATGTTCTTGCTGTGGATTTTTCTTGCTAGACAATGTGGAAGACCCAGCCCATCTAATATCCCCTGCTTCTTTTGTCTGGCAGCACAGCAGCTGGCATCATACAAAAATACCCTTTGCCACTGTACCTGCCTAGTGAATTTCTATTTATTTAGAGTTTCAGCCCCAGAACTCTGTTCTCTGAAAAATATTCCAATGCTGGATGTCATTGTGCTTTTCCTTGGGTCCCCATACTAACTTTTGCTTACATGTTATGTCATTTCCCGATTCTTTGTTTACTAATCTGATTCATTTCTCTGCCATGGGGTTTTATTTATCATTAAAACCCCACTACCCAGCATGTGGTAGGAACTCAATAAGCATTCAATGCATTAATCAATTAATTAGTAGATAAAAAAATTACCACCTACCTCCCTCAATTTACAAGTAGGGGAAAGAACCAGCGTTTATTGGATCATTTCTGAGGCTCAGGAGCTGTGTGGAGTAGGGGAGCCAGGCAAACAAGATGGAGAGACACTTATGTTCTCATTTGCATACTTAGAATAATCCAGAATGCCACAGGATCACAAGAGCCTGAGAAACAAGATGTCACCACACCTCTTGGATAAAAGGTTAAGTACTAGTTTTTGGGAGGGACTGTCTGTGGGAGAGACTTTGTTAGGGCTCCAACTGGAGAAAAGATGGGTTGAAAACACAGCACCTATCCTAAGGATGCACCCTCATGTGCCACCTCCAGAACTGCTGTCTTTCTAGCTTAAGAGGTGAAAGTGGGGTTTAGGGGAAGAGAAGTTTCAAGTGTCTTTATATTCCAAAGTAACATCCCTGTCTCAGGTTCACTGTGGTGAATGGCACTGTTTCAAGTCCCCCAGAAGACTCACCTGGTCAGGTGTGTCCAAGGCTTCTCCTGAGCTCTTGCTTTGTTGACTCTCCCTGCAGCCATCTCTGTGAATTCTGAGTCCAGTGGTTTGGGGTGGATCCAGGGACTGATTTTTTTTTTTTTTTTTAATTCTGCAGATTGCTGTACAGCCAAAGTCGACAGCCACTTTTCTAAGCAATAAATCAACTAGCTGCTTCCTTTTTGGGTTGTAAACCTCCCAGTGTTGAATCCAACACATTAACACCCAGGACTCTGCATCATCAGAAACTGGGTTTTTGAAGGACTTGTTAGGATCCCTGTAGTCCACTACTTCCCACCAAGTGTTTGCACCAATGCAACCTTAAGACAATCTGTGTGCCTCTGGTCCTATTTGAGCTAAATGTCCCCTTATTCAGAAGATCGTGTGGAAACAGCAGAAGGGAGTCATTCTCTGTGTATTTATTTATTCGTTTATCCAACAGGTGGTTTTTGAGTGTCCATCAAGGGGCCGACACAGTGCTGAGCTCTTGGGAGGCAATGCTCAGAAATACTGAAGAGAAATCTAAGAAAAAGGAAACGAAGCTTGGGTCACTGCCATTTAGTGAGAAGCTCCAGAACAAGCTCTGTCTCTTCCTTTTCTCTCATTCATTACCTAACCCTGACTTTCAGGTCCATGACCTCTTGTCTTCAGCTGAGGCTTGTCATGTGAGTCTTTTTCATAAATACTAGCATTTGCCACTTGTGCTACTCTGTTTGACACCCGCTCTCTTTACCTGTGAATGAGACAGCAAAAATCATTCACTCAGAATAATTGAGGCCCTCATCTTTTTCCCAAAATAAATTTCCTTTTACAGAAACCTCAGTTTTGGTTCCATGTGCTAATTTTAATTCTTAATGATGTAGTGTGAGGGTAGATTCTTCCATGCCATGTTCACACAATGGACATTAATTAATCCAGCCCCTCTGCCACTTAGAACTTTCTGAACTCACAATGATTTTGTCCATTACTCTGGACAACACTGATGAAGATTCCTTCTAATTGTCTTTAAATATCCAAGTAGGTATAAAAATACACTTCCAGATTGCACCAATTAAAGGCATAAAATACATGTTTGTTTCCATCACGGATCTGAAATATGGTTATCCTTAAGAACCTATATAGGAATGACTCATCAGGGAAAATTTTTGTGATCTTGGAGTCTGATTTTCAGTTTTTACTTTTGGTTTGCCAATGCATGTTAAGAATTGTATGGATAAGGAGGAACACCAGACTTGAGTAAGGTCAAACCTGGCCAAGGGTTCAACGTCCTCAGGGCAGCTTTTCCCAGGGGATGAGACTAGAGATCCCAACTCAGGGCAGGGCTGTAGTTGCAGGGAACTGGAGAAGAAAGATCTACAGAGACTTTGAACATCAGAAATACCAGCAGAGCAGTAGCTTTCAGAGACATACAGAAATAAAAGAAGGGCGTGAAGAAGTATAGCAAAAGGAGAGATGAGCCACCCATGGACATTCTGAGATCAAGAGGCAGAAAGGAAAGTGATGGCGGTAGATCAGCTTCTGTTGTGACATTCCAATCCTGGCGGTGTTCTCTCTGTATCAGGGAGTGAATTGTTAAATTTTCTTTTTGATGCCTGTTTTCAACATGAGTTTGATGTCAGAGTAGGTTAACATAACAAAGTGGGTATTGTAACAGCGTTTGAAAAGGTAAAATAAAACAACTTTTGCCACAAGGCTGGTAGAAGTCTAATCCTGCTTCAGCTATTTTCTACTGTGTGTGTGACTACTTAACAAGTCTGGTCCATTCATCTGTGAACTGGGACTGACACAGTTTACAAGATAACAAAAGTAAATGTCCAGTAACAATTATCTTTATTTCCTCTTTTATTGTTTGTAGAATAGGTAACTGTCAGAAAAAGAGCAAAAGGATAAATGTATGAGTTGAAAAAAAGGTCAGATATCTTTAAAATTTGGAAATTTTTACCTACTATACTTCAAGTCCTTGGGATTTTTAAAAGATAAGCTCATATACTTTAGGTCAGTTGACCAATAAGAGTTCTTTGTAATGATGTTCCAGAATGCTCTACAGCAATGTCCAATGTAGCAGCTTCTGGCCACATGTGTCTATTTTGCACACTTGAAATGTGGCTAATGCAACTCTAGAAGTAGCTTTTAAACTTTATTTGCTCTTAATTACTTTGAATTTAAATAGCATACATGACTAGCAATTACTGAATTGGCCAGTGCACCTTTATATATTTTTGACTGTGACGTCCTCCCGAGTGAGTGTGGACTGGAGAAAGCAGAAGAACAGGAGTTTAAGTACCTAGATTCTGAAATCAGAATGTCTGGGTTCCTTCAAACCCCAGCTCTGCCACTGGGGGATCTCCCATAAGCAATTTGTGCTCCAGTTTTCTCACATGTAAAAGAGGAATGTTAATGATGACACAGGAGATGTCGAGAGGAGGAAGTCATTACAAGTAAGAGCTTCAGGGGATATTATGACTTTTTGCCCTCTGGTAACAATGCACTTACTTGCTCCTTTGCCTCACCCACTCTGTTCACTGCTGTCCTGACACTAGTGTCAAGCATCAGACCTGGCCCAATTATACTGTCATTGAGTAAGGGTGGACAAAAGGGAGGGAGAAGAGACGGAGATACTGAAGGAAGGAAAGGGAAAATGAATGAAATAGGTAGTGTTGTTTCTTATGGAGACTGAAGTGAACTGCTAAAATAAAATATAAGAGTTTTAAAGAAAAATTTCAGAGCACAGGACTCTTGGGGATGAAGAGGAAGCCTGGAACACAGGGAAAACATACTTCCAAGTAACGCTAAAGGGATTTGACAGGTCTGAGAGAAATGAGAAGGAAAGAGGAGACTGGAGGCTTTTCCCTAGATCCCACACCCATGAACATATGGACTTCAATCCTTCAAATATGTTCAACCAAGCATCTCCAAGAAAACATGATTGTGGCTGTGTAGCTTCATTTGTCCATGTCATATTCTCATCTTCAAGGAAAGGGTAGTGCATGCATTGTTGAGCTCCCCATATTCAAGTTTTTATTTATAATATATTCATCAGTTCCCCCAAAAAATCAGTGTTGGGTAGGTTTTCATAACTGTTTATTCATTATAAATAGTAAATATTTACTGCACTTTTTACAGGAAAGACATTTTTACAACACGTTGTTGTTGGCTGAGGCTGCCACACAAAGGTACTACTTCTCTTGTTCTATGTACCTCAGTACTACACCTAGCCCCACTAACCACTACCTCCTAGTTCTTAATCTAAAAGGAATGCATTTGTGCCTACCTCATTCATGGTTCCAAGAATAGAAAGAAATAAATAACACTGCCTTCCACCTTCTTGATCCTCTTAGCATTTCAAAACAACAGATTTATTGACATTCTAAAATGTCACCACACAAACGTATGTAAACCTCAGTTCCTATAATTTTTTAATATTGGATATCATTGTATAATTTAAAAGTACATGAGAGCCACATGGACATTTCAGTTCTTGCCCTACCTTCCCTAGAAAAAAGAAGAATGTAAACGTAATCATTTTGAAAAGCATTATTATTCTCTGACAGTCTAGTCAAAAGGAGCAAGCCAGGTGTTGGTGACCCAGCAAATAGCAAACATCACGGCATTCTGCCACACGAATTACGGGCTGCAAAAAAATAAAGCACCTGCAAAAATATAGTTCTGATTTTGTTTCTATCACCTTGGCCATGGCCAAAGCATCTGTGAGGTACACAGTATTGCACACTGAGAAGCAGATACATGATGCGTGTCACCTCTTCACTCCCATGCCCTTCCCCCACCCAGGATGGCTCACAAATGACATGTGGATTGGGAAGAAATGTCACCTCTCCCCACATCAGAAAAGAAAACAGCTTTTCTTCCTGTAACTCCACATCCTGTTGGCAAGACATATCCAGGACGTTTATTGACAACCAGATTACAAATGAGGATATGATAACGAATAATTTATTTGGGAGGTCCTTTTATCTAGTCTAGCTTCCTAAAGAATGATGGCATTTAGTTTTATATCAGTTTCCAGTGTGTACAGGTCAAGGATTCCTCCATTGCTGATTCATCACGTGAGCAGTTTTAAAGTTATACAAGTGTCAGCCTTAGACATCCAACATGTTATGCTTTAGGGTATTCAACTATATTTCAGAACATTCTTCTCTCAAACAGTCCAGATAAACCTCAGAGACACACACATACACACACAAATGGAATGCTTTAGCTCCTTGATCATCAGCAGTAAAGAGTTGAGATATTTTGATATGTAGCCAGGTTAAGCCTTTGCCTTAATACACGCCATCTGTCTTCCACTGCTCTACTTCTTCCTCTTCTCCACTGCTTGTGTCCAACATGTTCAAAAGAATCTGAAACCAACTACTGGAGAAAGCAAATCAATCATTTTCCTTTGTCTCCACCTCCCCCAAGAGGTGATCTTTATTTTTCGCAGAAGACTCTTCATGTCTAGGCTACGGAGACCGGAAACAGGGCCAGTTTGAGCTCCAAGTGGACAGTTCACTTATGCAATATCTGGCTTAAGATAATGAAAGGCACCTGTAAGGAAACACACACAGCTTTTTAGGTCATGGCAGGACAATTCACAGTAAGGGGCAACATCAGCTACAGGCTGACAATGTCATATTTAATACCATGGTATCAAAGGATAGAGACTAATATTTTTATTCCTGAGACAAGTTTGACACAACTCTGTGTCCCTGGGATTATACTCCATATGAACCTCAAGCTGACCTCATTAAGAACATGTGTTTCTAATGCCAGAGGGTATTTCATTTTGGCCAACCCTCATGTTTTACCTACTGGCAATCAGGTTTTACGTCTCGGCAATTAATAACTGCAAGATGTATGGACATCAGTTAAGAAAATAATTATACAAGAATCCCTTATTGGAATAACCAGCTGGCTTTGCCACAGAGTCGATACCGAGATGTGAGGCTTACTCAGGCCTCTAACGCCCATTTCACAAGCAAGAGGTGAGTTCATCTCCCTTCCAGGAATAATTGCCCTCTAGATTGTCCAAGGCTTACTTTGTCCATACTGCCCGTATTGGTAGCCTGTGACTGGGTCCATACTGTAGCCTGTGGTGCTATAGGTGGGTGGACAATAGGACTGAGATGTAGGCAGGCTATCCAAGCTCTTCATATGGTCTAGTCTCTGACTGCAGCTGGCCGACACGGTGGTGGTAGGTTCCAGGCCCCCAGTCAGAGGGGAGAGTGCATAATCAGTCTGAGGCTGATGAGGTACCCCACCGTGGTTGGTCAGGAGTCCCATTACCTAAAATAAACAGGCAGATTGGAAGAAGTTACAATACAGGGAGAAACAGATGCTAGCCCATAGCTGAAAGAATAAGTTGAAAGTCCAATTTTTATTTCTTTGGAAATCTATTAAAGAGCTATTCCAAAGACTATGACCTCGATTCAAAGTGGCAGCACTATTAACATCACACCCAGTGACAACATCTGACTGCAGTTTCAGAGAAAGGAAGGTGGGGTGGGGGGAGAAGGGAGAGAAAGGGAAAGAAGGAAGGAGAGGAGGAAGAGAGACAGGGAGAGATTACACCGTGTCCCCAGCAATAAAAATCAGACAGAAATTTCAAAGAAAAGGCAAGAAAGGACAGAGAGAGGAAGAAGTTGCATCTGTTCACATAGAAAAATGTCTAATATATTACATCTGGAAGTTTCACATGTGATTTTTTTCCTTTTGTGCAGTGCTGAGGATTGAACCTAGGGCCTTGCACATGCCAGGCAAACACTCTGCCACTGAGTTACATCTTCAGCCACCCTGAGTGATTTTTAAATAGGCATTCATTTATATTAAAAAATAAATTAGTGCAGCTCAGTGGTAAAGCACTTGTCTGACATGCACAAGGCCCTAGGTTCAAACTCTAGCATAAATAAATATTAAATAAATCCAGTTTTATGTGTGTGTGTTTTGAGACCTCTATGTCTTTATTCACAGTGTTTCCTCTCAAGACATCTCCTGTCCTTATCCTCAGTAACTAGAAATCTTTCTCTTTCCCTCTTGTTCCCTGGGTGTTCCTCATCCTACTCACTGTATAATAATTAGTTCACTCACCCAGTTTGACTTGTGAGACCTCAGAGGGTATAACTGCAGCTGGGCACCTCCCCAGTGCTGAACAAACGAGTGCTAAGTGATTCTCCAACACCTACCTGCATTACCTAAACCCACTTCCTATCCCTTCCTTTCTTCTCTAGCCAACACTTCACATAGAAGTACTGTGCAAAGGAAAGTCAAGCCTGAAATGCAAACACGTTCTGAAATAGTTCAGTTCTGTACATGACCCTGAAGAGTAGGATAACTTAAACAAAAACAAAACCCACTGCTAACAGAACAACTCCCAGATGGGCTCGGGGAAGGTTTCACAACCTCAAGCTCACTGGCCCTTCCAGCACCTCACAGTGAGATAAGTGGATAATTAATTTTGCAGCTGGGAAACGGCTGCACAAGAGAGGAAGTGATTGTTCTCAAAAATTATTGCAGAAGAATTCTACTGCTGGGTGAAGAGCACCTGGAAGACACAGCTACCACTAAGTATACAAATGCAGGAACCCACGCAGTTGTGCATGTCCATTATAGTCCAGCAGAAACAAAAAGCGACCCAGTACTAAGTGCAAAGCACTCTCTGGTCGGCAATTCAGCAAACAGCATCCTGGAGCTAAGGGCTCCAGCAATATGGGGGGGGATGGGAGAAGTTGGTCTTGAATCCCAGAGACCATCCCAACTCAGACTGGAAAACAAGGATCCATAACTTCCTGTAGGAAAGATTTGCATAATCTTATAGTTAAACAAAATCTTCTTGAACTGAAGCTTTAAACTGATCTATCTTCAATGAGCCCCAAGAGACCAAACGGTAAGAAAGAGAATCTCATCAGCTCCAGTAAGCTATCTTCTTCTTCCATTCTTACAGACCACTCCTCTCCCTTGCCCTTCCTTTCACTACATAGGAACTCACGGGGGAAGGTGGTCAGGTATGGGTGAAACATCACAGTATATCCAAATTTTGAAAGATATCCTACAAATCTCAATTTTCTTGAGATATGTAGTGAAATGTCTTTTCTGAAGTGTCTAAAAATTGATTGTATTCTAAAAAGTAGTTATTGGTAGCCAAGCACATTTTTTTGTTTTGTTTTAATTGGGCATTGCGGGAAAGTGAACATCACAAAATAAAATAAAATCAGTAAGACACGCAGCTGCAGGAAAATGGGAAGTCACTAGAACATGAACTCTCAAGGGGTCTTGCACAACACTGTTTAGAATGAGTTAATTGATATCTTCATTTTAAAAATTTGAACATAACCAAGAATGACTTTATATTATTTCTTGGATGTTCTTCCACTTACAGAGATTTTTTTATTATTCTTTGCCTTTCTTTGTGCTTATAATCTTACAGTGTACATTTGAAAAATTCATAAACTTCAATTTGATAGAATAATTTACTGAATATTTTAGCCCAGATTAGGGATTCAAATAAAATACAGGACTAAAAACATGAAGAATGAGGGACTAGGGCTATAGCTCAGTGATAGAGCACTTGCCTAGCATGTGTAAGGTCTTGGGTTCCATCCCTGGCATCACAATACTGTGAATAAGCTATCCTAAGTAAAAACACAGCACTTAAAAAAGCAACTTTGTAATACCGTCAGTACAGAGAAGAAAAATATTCAATGGTACTAAAAGAGAAATATACTTTAAATTAATAGCATCCTCCATGAAGATACTTGCTTGAAACTCAGTTCATAGTATGTCTTTTTAAGAGAGAATGAAATACTCTATGTGTAGTTATAGCTGAAGAGCTCCAAGCAGGATTTTATTCAAAACATGCACCCTCTCCCATGAGCTATATATGTACATTTTTATGATAAACTTTTTTTAAAATCCCCTGCCATATATTTCTTGTTTGCATAACTCTGAAGGCAGCAATAATTTTTTTTCATGGGGTGGGGGGCGGGAACAAAATGTGAATCCTAAAAGAGGAGAAACAAGTCCTTCGTATAAGCACAAAGTCAGCTTCTGATGTTCATGTAGCAAGATTTTGCAGTGACTGCATTAGAAAAACTTTGAGGCTAGAATTTAGACCTTGGTGTGTGTCTACTGGAGGATGGAGAAATCACAGCACCATCTGCAGGGCCAAGGACTCCAGAGCAGAGTACCCTTAAGGGTCAAGTCAGCAGCAGTCCTTAGCACTCTTCCCCAATTCTTGAAGTGAATGATGGGAGGGAAGAAAGAGAAATTAAGACCTTTGGTCTCTCTGCCTCCCTGATAGAGCCTAAGGGACAAATGCTTAGCTCTCCTACAAATGCTTAGTTCCACTGGGCATGATGGAACACAACTGTAATCCTGGCCCTTGGGAGGCTGAGGCAGAAGGATGGAGAACTGAGGCCAGGCTTTCTCAAAAATAGAAAAATAAATGTATAAAGTTAGGGAATGGGACACTAGTATTTCCCTATATTTGGTCTACAATCAAGACTAATAAATATCATGTAAATTATTTCAATATTTCACATTGGGAAAACTTGAGAAATATATACCATTTTAATAACCTGTCATTTAAAAATTAAAAAAGAAATCTGTGTTGGTGGGGGGAGTACACATATCAATAGGAAAAGCATTCCTGTCCCTAACATAATTCAAAACCTCAAACCTCTCTGGAAGGGTCCCATTACACTTTTATGTATGCTTCTTTAAAAGCAGTTTTGTTTCATGTGGTTCAAGGGAAGCTGTGGAAACTTCTTTTTGTGCACAAGAAGTTGGTAAATAAACTTCTTAGAACTCCCCCAAGATGGCTAAAGAAATCCTGTCAGGATTTCTTTTGTACATGCTTTTCCTACAGCAATTTGTTATTCAAAGTCTAAAATAAAAATCTTCATTTGTGGTAAACTAGGATTTTCACCATCTTAAGCTATTAGTAAGTTATTTCTACTAAAAGGCTGGTGTTTTGTTTGTTTGTTTAATTTGGGGTGGGAAGAAAGCACCATTGCCTGGTTTTGACTAACAATTTCCAAGGAAAACAAACAAATTCAAGGCTCCTCAATTCTGCCTCCCAATTCCCCCCTTTGGCTACTTAGTTCTTAGGAAATGCCAGAAAAATTCCGTAGATACAACAATAAGAAACAGTTTTCCTTAAATAAAGGTCTCTTTTTGGCTCTTTGTTTTTACTTTTTGTTGCGTACAACTCATAATCAAGGTATCTGAAAAATAAAATCTATCAAGATGTTTCAAAAACACTTCTAAACTGTCTTTTGGATAACTTTTAAAAAAACAAATTGAAGGGACTGAAGACATGGCTTAAGAAGTAGAGTGTGCACTAGAGGCTCTGAGTTCGATCACCAGTATCACCAAAAAACATAAATTAAAAAAAAAATATTCAAAGTCTTGGATTCCTCACTCATACTTTTTCTGCTGGTTCTTCCATCATGTGTGTTATTAGAGACATTTCTGAAGATCTCTTTAAACTCATTCTCACATTTCAGGATTCCAAATAGGTTGTTTATATCTTGATTGGAAGATTATATGGTTCAGAAAAAACTAACTCCTTACAATTGCTTCATGCCATATTTCTCTTGAATTAATTTCCCTACTGTAAGATTAAATATAAAAGATAAAACCTATGGGCCAAATTAAGATTTACATTTAAAACGATGTGTCTGGAAAATATTTGTCTTGGCACAAGTGTTATGGTTTTGCCGTCTGTCAGTTGAAAGTGCTGGGAGCTTATCAGAAATCTAAAATGACTTAGCAAATTAGGGTGAGTATGTAGTGCTTCTCTTTGCCTGAGGAGGAATCCTGGTTCCTGTCTTTATTTTCCTTCTTGTTCTTAAGTAAGTAGATGGTCTTCTGATTTGGCATTTAATAATTTAGTTTCTTTTAAAAAAAATTGTGAATTTCAGTTTTATATGATATAAAGGAACTTTTTAAGCCTTCTACGCTTTCCTCCAAAACTCTACATATTTTTTAATTTGGATAAAACTTTATTTTTGGAGCCAAACAAAAAAATTCAAACCTTTTTCAAATGTTTTTTGCTTTACGGGGGTTACTGGAGTCTACCAACAGATAAGTCTCAGTGACTGCATCTTTGAGGAGAAAAGACTCCCTGAAAAAAAAGTCTTCAGATTCAAATGCCTTAGGAATTATCCTGCTCTTGATTAGCATCTAAATAATTAGATTTTTTGGTTGTGTCTGTTTGAAAGCTATAAGCGGGAAGTTGCCTGAAGGCAAAAGTTTCTCTTCAGGTCTGTGTGGTGACCTTCTCACCCATCTTGAGAGTTAGGGAAAGGGCAAGATGGACTTTTACCTAAGCAGAGAGAAAACCAGGCATGTAAAGGGTCCAGCTAAAGAAGTCTTCATTTTTTAAATTTTAATCCTTAGTTGCCATTTTGCAAGTAGCTAGTTGAATACATGACGGAAGAATGTGAGTGCCAGACAAGTGTAGCTCATATGCTGCACACATTTTTAAGTTTTATTTGTAAAGCACAGAAAGACTCAGACTCTCTTCTCCAGTCCTGTGACCACCCATAGAAATAACTTCTAGTTTATCAATTTTTGTAGGATCTATTTCTCAGTAGAGTTGGCTGTTAAAATTGATAGCAATATTTTCTTGCTTTTGTTTTGGGATTCTTTTCTTTTTTCTTTTTTTCTTCTGTGGTCCTAGGGATCGCTCCTAGGGCCTTGTGCACACTAAGCAAGCACTCTACCATTGAGCTGTGTCTCCAGCTGACCAATATTCTTTAAGGGCTGAGGAGTGAAATATAAATTTAGGCAAATAATTAGCACACAAATGGCTTGCAACAGATGTGTATATATGTGTGTGTGCATATATAGCTTACTTCTAGTCCATAATGAGCATTCAGACTATGTCTACCTATTATCCACAAAATAAACCCCATTAAGAAAAGCTCATGCCACCCAAATGAACAAGTACGACAGTTAATACAGTGGGTATTTGACTATGTTAGACTCACCATGGGTCTAATAAAATTCTCATATGTTTTAATTCATTTACGCATGCCTGCATTTAATATGCTTTGTGACCATGTCTACAATTAATATGATTTATGAGAAAAGAACATGTGCAATATTGGGGGTATAGCATACATATTTTTTTCTTATGTGAATGAAAAATATAACAAAATGGCTCAGGAAAAATTGTTGGCCCATAGCATATTAAGATGGACTGACAGAGCCCTGAGTGAACTTGGGAGTTAATGATATCCTCTTATCTGACCCTGACACATTTGCAGCATGTAATTTACAGAAGCTCTGTCCAGGGACTCTTGACAAATGCTCCTAACGATGTCAGGGCAATGTTCCATTCTAATGTAAAACAGATGTGGGTCAGATACCCTCATTCATCACTTAATGCACAGACTCTCAAACTCTTTCTGGAAGGAATGACATTAGCTGCTGTTAACTCTTCTCATTTCAGGACAGTTCTCACAACCACAGTAGCCCTCTAAAGGATGTGCAGTCAAACCCATCAGTACTTCAAAACCCTGTTTTGCACAGCCAAAACTGTGGAAAATCAAACATACGCCTTGGCTCCATTGCATGACTGCTTTATGATATGTTTGCTAAATATTAATTGACCCTTTGCAACATGTTTCTAAATATAGAAAAGGAAAAGCACCTCATAGTACTTCAGTGAGATGGCATTTTTAAATTCCTCTCTAATTGACCACAAAGAAATCCCATATTAAAGGAATACAAGACTAGCCTACTCTAATTATCATCCATAAATGTAAACCTTGCTGAACCTCAATTGTGGGGCTCCCTCTGAGACTCACAAATAACTGACAATGATTAGAAATCCACATTGCCTTAGCAATGTTAGCAAGAAACACTTCAACTCTGCCCTTCCAATTGAGCTACACTATCTTTCCTTTCCCCTAAAACTTTCCTTCCACCCAACACTTCAGCAACATGGAGGACAGACATTCTGCCCTCAAGGAGGAAATTAGTTGCCTAACAACAAGAAAATATCTTCTCTCTTGTAGACTATGTGTGATGTAGGCAAATATTTCCATGGTTGCCCAAAGTCATTATCAGAAGATCCCATGTACCAAATGCCAGAAGACAATAGAAGACATGCCGTCTACCCTTCTTTTCATGTGGAGGAAGGTGGATCCTTAAGACAAGGAAAAAACCAACTGAAAAGACCAAATGACACTGACCTAAGGATGCTATTGATAAGTAAATGTCAGGAACAATATTTCTATGAACTGTGGAAGATGGAGGACAGTCTTGCAAAAAACTAAGAGTGGGCATACTCTTTAGGAAATGCTTGTTGTTCTGGTTTTTTGGTAAGGTAGAACATGCATTCATTTAAGATGCAAGAAACTTGTAACAACCCTACAAATGTAAAACAACCCCTGAGAATGCAATCTTCCAGGATCCAACTTCAGGGGCACTGAATCAATAATGATGCTGTGTTCTCTTTTCCACCTGAACACTAACTGGTGCTCATGAATTGGGTGGTAGCCATGTCTCCTATTGCATAGGAAACTTGATGTGAGCTGGCCACATGCAGGGCCAGAGTAAAGTCACTCACATAGCCCTTTGATCTATAGAAATTAAGTCTGTCCCTGCAAATCTGAACAAAATAAAATCTTTATAATATAGTGATTAAAAGAATGTTCCCTTATCCAGGTGTGGTAGTACATGCCTGTAATCCTAGCACTTGGGAGGCTGAACAGGAGGATCAAATTTCAAGGACAGCCTGAACTACATGGCAAGATCCTGTCTCAAAAAACAAACAAAAAAAAAAAAAAAAAAGAAGCGTGCTTCCCAATTATTAGCTCAAAATTACTCAGTTAGATTGTCTCTTACTTCCCAAAGCCTTTCTATTGCACCTGATGTCTTAGCTTCCTTTATCCTCTGCTGTTGAGAGAAGCATCTCTGGGCATCACAGTCTCTTGCCTTAGAAGTTAAGTAGCATGCTTCCAATTTATCTGGGATCTTGTGTTATGCAAGATGGATGATATATTTTTATGTGTTTATGTTGACATTATATGTGTATCAAAGCAAGAAAAAGAGAAGGAAAATAATAGGCCAACCCTTTCCCCTCCCCACTCTTAACCCATGGAATGAAGGATGGTGTCTTGTTTTTGTTGTACTGAGTGCTCATGTTTTGCTCTCAATTACTCAAGCAAAAAAAATTCTTGAAATTATGAGGTTTGGTTTGGCTTCTGGGTGTTCGAAGATGATTAGGACACAGTTTTATTCTTATAGAAGTGCATCATCAAAGGTGATGGGAACGGACAGACCATAATATGACACAGTGTAGAATGCGATTTAGCAATGTGTAAATACAGTCACAGGACCTCTACAGAGGCCAAAACAAGAAATTCTGCCCAAGAGAGTCAGGCAAGAGTTGACCTTGAGCTGGAGATTTTCCCATGCAATCACACAAATCAGCTCCACAGGGGCCATGTATGAGTCTAGAAACAGATGCAATAGTTTAACTAGATTTTTAAAATACATGCTGCCCCACTGAGACATCAGTATTTTGTGAGAAAAACAGAATAGTTATTTCTTTAAATAACACTTGTCTCCTTCATTAGTTCAGCACTGAGGATTAGCTGCACAGTCACCTCACAGCTAAGAAACGTACCCTTCCATGTAGAAATACTACCCTAAGGTTCTACAAATTGCATAGTCTCTTAAGTGAAATAAGTCAGGCACAGAAAGACAAATAATACATGCTCTCACTTAGATGTGGAAGCCCAAAGGTAGATCTCAAATATAGAGACTGCAACAGTTTCTGTGAAGGGTCTGGGGAAGGACAGATGGAGAGCGGATGGTTAAAGGGTACAGAGATGCAGCAGGACAGAAGGAGTAACGTAATGTTCTATAGCACAGTAGGATAACCATGGTTGACAACCATTAATTGAATATTTCAAAATAGCTAGTAGAAAGGGTTTTGAATGTTCCCAGCTCAAAGAAACGATATATGTATGAAGCGATAAATGTAACAATTACCCTGCTCTAATCATTACACATTGTATATATGTATTTTATATATATGTATTATGTGATATACCGTACCTCATAAATATGTGCATTACTATGTGTTAATGGGCAACAAAAATAGATTTAAAAATTGCACTGTCTCCAGATCACATCTCTTCCATTGATTATAGGGACAATGTAATCACTAATCACAGAAACTCCAAATTACTGGTCTCAAACTAAACATCAAGAGTCATTTTTAAATAGAATACTGTGCTTTGAAAAATATACACCTCTGATGAAACCCAGACTGCTTTGCAGAGAGAGATAATGTAAGGAAGAAAAAACAACAACAACAAAAAATAGTACACAACTACTGAATCAAGTCTTCTGTGTCTGAGTACAAAGCACACATTCAGCCCCTAATTGAATAAATATGCAAGTATTCAGATTTCTGTAGATATTGCCATTTTGCAAATGCAATAATAAATTAAAAGCTTTACATTGCATTCCAACCACATATAAAGGGTTGATTCAGACCATTGGCCTTACACTAGCATTTAGCACAGCTTTTCTGTGTAATGCTGACTACAAAGAGAAACTTTTCATTCTAGTAACTCAGTTATAAAATAAGCAATCACACTCAATTTTTTTTCTCCTCTGTGGCTAGAAGAATTCAAATGGGCCTAAAACTCATGGAGTTGTAGTTGATTTGTCTAATGCACAGAAGAACAAAGCTGACAGAATTTCTACTTAAACCAACTCAGCAGACACACACACACACACACAATAATAACTCATCAGGAAAGATATTCTGGTGGCTTACTTCAGTAGCATGATAAGAGCAGTCATTGGCTGCTCCCTTTCTGGAAAAAGGGAGATTTGGGCCAAGACATTATTACTCCCACAATTGTTCAAATCTAACTAACTCTAGAGGCCGTGGATAGAACTGACATTAACCAGGACTCTCCTCAGATTCTTTAAGGGTAGGAACCACAGCCTATAGAGCAAACCCAAAGGCACCAGGTCAATTACAGTCTGCATGGATTCAACAAGTGGATTAGCAGCAAGCTTTTCACCATGAAGCAAAACATCTCAAAAACATAATATGGCAGGCTGGAAACATGAAAATGGCCCAGGGTTCTGGTGTGGCTGAAAGGGCCTCATTTGTGATCATAAACACTCTTGAGCCATCCTATACATGTGAGACTTCTCAAGACCTGGTAACGAGCTCATGCACTACTTTAGAAGAGAAACAGAAAGGTGCTCAGGCTTTTGAGAGCCTGCCACTTTTACATGGACTGTCTCTCCAGCCCAGCTCTGTTTGATACCCAACAAATCTCTTTAATCAAAATCACTCCTCTTTCATCCACAGATGAATTTCTGGAAAGTGTAAAGAAAAGGAAGTATCTCCATTGAAAATGGAATAGTGGCAGGCCACCTGCTTGTCTGGTTCTTTGATATGGTACAGGTAGGTTAAGGTCACCAGGATTTGTGACCTGTGTGCCAAATACACAAAACAAATGGCTGATCAGCAAAACCAGCAGCAAATAGCTTCTGGATGTGTGCCCAAAAATGTCCAGAAAAAAATTGCTTTCTTGAAAAAGGAGCTGCTGTCTCACCAAGGTAAACCTTACTGCTTTTACCTGTAGAAGTAGCATACAAGAAGGGCAAGGAATTTCCATGCATGGTGAAAAAGATTTTCGCTAAATCTTGTGATTTAGCCCATCACAACCATTTTAATAGCCATTTTTAATCCACATAATAAGCTGATCTGTAGTAAGCCCTCCCTTACATCTTCGATGGACACACAACCATCATCCTGCCTTGCAGCTAAAGAATTTGAGATCATAGGTAACACTGCAGTCCAAAAAATGACAAGTGAAATCAAAAGCAGTCTTGAATTTTGTGTACACGTATTAACACTTAAATGCTTCCCCCTAATAAGTTTCAGGATTAACAACTGTTTGTCAAAAGAAACTGTGCTGAGCAATTGAAATCTAATTTGAAATGGAACCACGATAGTCTAATACATATATGCATGAAATAGAGTGGCCATCTAATATGCATAGCTGACACCAAATATGCAATTTACATACATTACACACTAATAATCTCAATTTTAATATTATTCTTTAAAAGCAACTGGACGGGTGGTTGAGTTAAAGGTTTTCTTTTGTAAAATGCAAATAAGAACAGAAGTTGATCCTGGCATCTTATACCATTAACCTCAATCTCATTAGTATAAATCTGTCTGCTCTTTCTGGCTCTGTTTCAGTGTGGTACCTTAACACTACAAGGTCATGATGATTCAACCAGACTTAGACGAATGTTCAATAAACTTGATGAGATCTGCAGGCCTCCTCTTTGTTCCTAAGGTGCTGAGTGGCAAGCAAAATTTCAAGCCTGGTACACAAATCTTTATGAGAATTTTCTCTTTCCTCAATAGATTATCCATGAAATAGGACAGGTGTACTGGTTATTCAATTACATCTTACCCAAGACCTGGACAAAATTTGAAACAAGGCCTCTGAGCATAACTCTTACCATGGGGATTTATTAATAACAGTTAAATGTTCTCCAAAACTAAACTTTTTTTTGTAATTTAAGACTATTTTCTTATTTTGCCATTGGTTTCACTCATAAACCAGAAACAAAACTCTGTCCATCTGCTCCAAACATAAAGTGTGTTCATAAGAATCCAGACTTATTCTAAATGTATTTTTAATTACTGTTGAATTGAAAGATACTCAAAATTTATGGCCTCTGAGGCTGCAAATAGGACTTCCTCCTTTTAAGAAGGAAAAGGCTTAAAATGAATGTAGGAAAGGTTCAGAAAGCTTCTTGGATATCAAATGGCTCCGTAGGAAAAAAAAATGTCAATAATATAAGAGTGAATGAATCAAAACCATATGGAGCAAATTTTCCCTAAAATACACAGTTTGAAAAATTAAGGAGGAACAGTGTTTGGCAAAAATGTGTTTTAGGTTTTACCAAACCCAAAACATTTGAAGAATCATTTGCAATGGTTGATGAACCCTAAATACAGCCAAGTTGGCCCATTTTTATATATTACAGAACAATAGAAAAGCTCCCCAGAAACTCTGTAACCCACTGATACTGCATTTCACTCAAGACTCACTGGAATCTGCCACCAAAGAAGGGCAGAGTTTGTAGGAGTAGGGTGGAGGTGGGGCATGAAATGATAAAAGTTTGTTAATTTAATTGGTCTTGTTTTGGGGGTCTGGCAATGTGTGTTTTGGGGGTGGGGAAGCAGTAAGGGCAGTATTTCTTGCAAAAGAAAGTTAATTAGAAGAACATGGGCCAAATGTTAATTAGTATCACAACTTGAGCATATGGTAGTATTTCCTTGCTCTCCATATTCCAAGCCAGCACTCCCTGTGCCTCTTGCACATACAGGAAAGTGCTGGAAACATCCTGTCTGGGGACAGAGGGGGATTTCAATAGTCTGTATTTCCCAAAGTTCTGCATCATCTCTGCACCAAGAGAATAAAATATTTCAAAAGAAGGCTGCTACTACCTGGAAAAGGCCTCACTGAAGTGAGATGGATGGATTTCTTCTCAGAGGATGTTTTGTCCTTCAGTGTGAGCCCTTCTCCCAGAAGGGCTACGCAGGTCAGAAAGCTATGCAGAGAGGGCAGAATGTATTGAGGTTTTTAACCTATTCCCCCCTCATCCATCACTGAGAGTTTCACCTCAAGTCCCCGCAGATCCAGCCTTTGAAAGAGTGTTAAGGCCAAGCCCTTAGTTTCTGAAGCCATTCGACAATGCTCACAACAAAGTCAGGTCAGATGGTAGTACCTGAACCCACGGAAAACTTCTTACAACATTACACATCCTCTGGCCGAGACCAGCAACTGAAATGTGTAACTTGTGCTCACAGAAGACAGCTGGAAGAAACAACTAGAAAAGAAAGCTTGGCTCTTGACCCTGCCGGGAGCTCACTGCCATTTAGATGATTAGGTAGCGTTGGCCTCTGTTTTCCTGTAAGTCCAATGGGGATTCCCCAGATATGACTGAAACATTGCCAGCAGTTAAGGGGTACACAAGCCCTCGCAAAACTGGAGGAAGGGTAGGGCCAAAGTTCCTAAAAGACTGTTTTTGGTGTTCTAAGATTTACACTGTCCAAACACATGTCAATCCATTGCTACACTGACTGACCACCTGGACAGATGTGACCTCCCCTAGTCACTGTTTCACATTTGGCCCCCACAAAGAAGAGGCCTTCCCTGAATAAGGGACTGAGGAAATCTAGGAAGCATCATTTGGCAAGTGACTATAATCCCAAGCTTTACAAGAATCTGCTTGAGGGAACAGATAGATGAGAGATACCACACACACACACAAAAAAAACCATACACACACACACACACACACACACACACACAAAACTCATGCACACCTACAGAAAAATGATTTGCCTGTCTTTCATTCCTTAACACAAAACTAGGAATCCCATTCTACTATGGTGCACACACATTCTAGTTCATGATTTCTGAGTTTGAATAGTCGATAACACAGAAATTCTAATGATACTAGTAAAAATGCCAAAGAAAAATGGGCAAATACTAAACAAGCCTCCCCTGAAGAGATCTACTACAAATTGACCATAATGACTCAAAAAAAACTTATATCCACCTTAGTTGAGATCAATAGGTAGGGAAAAGCAGAGAAAAGGCAAGATATAAAATTATATACACCACTATCTCAATTTTTTAAAAAAGCTTAAGACTCAAAAAAGACCTAAGAAGCAGTGCAAAAGCATTAACAGTGGTTGCCCCAGGAGAAGTTTTTTTCTACTATAAATCATATTAAAGTTTTGCCATTTTTATACTAAAAGCATGGAGTGCTTTTATTACTGGAAGAAGTTAAAAGATTAATGGAAATTAGGCTAGCAAAAAAAAAGTATAAGGTAATCTAAACTTAAAATTTTAGAAAACTAGTCTCTACTTGTTATTTTTAAAATCTGACTAAAACCCTTTGTCCCTGTTTTGCCATGAAATCTGTCTCCTCTTCACTCATCCATGTGCAATAATGGGCTGGATTCTAGACCAACAGCCAAGAACTGTAGACTCTAGTCCCCTCACCACCCCCCCCCATCATCCCTGTGACTAGCAGCAGGCTGCAGTCTCTTTGGTCCTCCATTGAATCGTCTGCACAGTAGATGACCAGACAGAGGTGGAGGAGTTAGGAAGAGCACATGGAGAAGGAAAGAGGAAATGACAATCACATCCTCTGTGCCATTGTTGGTATTATGTGATCCAATATATAATAAGCACTTCTCTCTAAGCAGTAGCTAACAGGTCACAACTCTCTTTTAAGTCTCTTCTTTTTTAACAGGTAAACCAGAATGCTAGACATGGACTCTTGGCTTCAAATTTTTCGTGACACTATTTTTAATAAAACCAGGCAACCAAAACCAGGGTAAGCATCTCTTGTCTAATTAGGGGCATTCCTGAGAAGTGCTCCATCGCAAAGGCTACAGAAATCTAAGTTCTGAGACCAATTTTCCTACTCCATTGTTTTGTAACTATGCCTGGCAAGACAGGGATTCACACCATGTCCTCCATCTTTGCCTGAGGAAATAAGGAAAAACTTCATATTATTTAATTTCTTTTCCAACTCGTTAGGAATGTCACAAGAACTAAGATAACATGGAATCCTCGTGGTGGTTTTAGACTCAAATATATGGTAGAAACACAAAATATACTGGGTATTTGCTAGATAATAAGTAAGGAATTGACATGATATGTCAGACACAGTAAAGAAACACAGGAAAAACTGCCTGTGGAATTTTCCATTGCTTGATGTTGGAATGAGTCCCACCCTCCCACCAACTCTGAAATCATTCTGAGTCTTCTTGAAGTTAAGGATTAATAGCTGGAAGATCAAGTTCTAGCAATTCCACTTCTGTACTACTTATCATTACATACAAGAAACTAGCAATTTTACTTATAGAATACAGGTTCATGTGCTTTTCCTGATAATTGACTAAAATAAGGTTCTAAGAAATATAAATGGAATCCTATAGCTCACCTTACAGAAACAGCTAGGGCCAGAGTTTATTTCTTTCAAAACTTTCAACTAAATCATATCCATAAAAAGCTTTTCTGTGGCCTCAAACTACTGATGTTAAAAATTACAGGAAAAAAAAATCTTCTAAACTACAGAAGCTTCTACACATGAGTCTGAGTATTTTAAAAATGACTGCATTAATGGAAGTCCCTCATTGTCATGCAAAATCACATTCACAAATGCCAGAACTTGGAAATTAAATGCATTAAAGTCCTGTAGGAAGCACTTTCATTGTTTTCATGTTGTTATTTTTCAGTTGAGGTTTAAAGCCAGCTCTTACTTTTTTTTTTTTAAATCCCAGGATGTGCTATAGGAATCTATGAAACTTAATTACATTTACTGTTACAAAAAAAGGATTTATGAACTTTTGCCTTGAGGCAAAAATGTTTATTTCATTGCCTTTGCTATCCATTCTTTTCAACTCCCACAGCTTTGAACTTTTCAGCTGCTCGGAGTTATCACTGTTGCACAGAGCCCAAGAGCTCCACTCCTAAGACACACACCGCAAGTTGAAGAGAACCAAGAAGGCGAAGATGTATGAGTCGTTATTTTGGCCACCCTTTGTGCCATTAAAATCTCATTTTCTGCCTATTAGAATGCCCTCTTGGTGCTTAGGCAGTGGTGATAGTCGGTGATTAGTGTGTAATTGAGTATAATTGTCTTTTCACTTTTCATTTGTGTCATTCTGAGCTTCTCTCTGTTTTTCTAACCACCAGGAGGAAAAAGGAGGTCGAGAAAAGATAAAGCTGTTAAAACTCTCACTCTCAGCCCTGAAGAGATCCTCGATTGCAATTATAGATTGCAACCCTTTGTGACATTTCTCCAAATTTAGTAGGCGGCTATCCTTACCACCTGGGCCAACTGCTCTCTAATAAAATCAAGTGATCTGTATTTAAACAACTGCTAATAATGTCAACCTCAGACAGATGCCACATGTAGGAAATTTAACCATCTCTCTGACATGCAATTATCAAGGCAATTTATTAATACACTCTCCCAAGAAAAGCTCATAGTCCAATGCAAATTAGAAAAACAATTACAACATGCAAATATTTATATATTCCCAAAGAGCAGTAATTCTCCTAATTTGTGCATTTATAACTCATTTATTCTAGAGTTCTGTTGTCATCAAATGAGTCTCTCTCTCTACAGGACTTGTGCCCTCTTCCATTGTTTTGTCAAAGCTTTGCTGTTTCCCTGGGAGGTACTTTTGCTCAAAACCCCATCATCTGACCAAATACCATTTGAAACAGAAAAACAGAACAAAACCAAAACAACCCTACTATGTTTGTGAGATTCTTAACCAAAGCCCAGAGCCAGGATAGAGAAGACATACAACAAATGCCTTGACAGCAAAGCATAAACACAGACTCCCTGATTACATTAGAAGTCACTTGAATTTTAAGTCTAAGCTACAACTTTTGGTGCCTCTAGTAGGAAGGTAGAGAGAAAGGAAACTAGAAAACCGAAATCATGTGGCTTGTATAAAGAATACATTATGGTTTAAATTTGGCAATTCATTATATACTGCCTCAGGGAATTGACGATTTGGTTCTGGTATACAGCAAATCATCTGTCTAGAAACACGGGACTGACCTGAGGTGAAAGGCCATTGCCAATGGTGGGGTTCATGGGGTTGGAGGGCCCCGAAGGGGGCACAAAGCTGTCTGTATAGCTGGAAAATCCATGCCGGGTGCTGGGGAGGCAGTAGGCAGAGCTGCTGTCTGGGTTTGAAGGAATCGTGCTTTGGTGGACGGTGCTCGGAGGAAGCGGTTGAGGTCTGTGAACGGTGCTGCTGGGATCCGACACAGCTGAAATGAAGAAGGTGGTCAGCCATCAAGTTCCCGAACAGCCCGCAGAGCAAGCTCAATTGCAAAGTTCAGAAGTCCCATCAGTAGTATCTATGGGTCAGACTGAATGTTAATTTCAAGCTGCATTTCCTAACATACAAGCGTAGAATCACTCAGCAAATGTAGTCACATCTCTCCCAGCACAAATTTGCAAGCGCATACTTTATGTGTACACTCTCGTGGCGCATTCACCCAGAATACTTACAGAAATTCACACCCAGAACATGAATGCGGAAATCACAGTAACCACGCTAACAAGCTTGTTTGACAGTGCATGCTATTGATCAATGTGAGAATTAGCCAATTTAATGACTAAAAGTCAAATGTACTCTTAAAACACTCAAATATTCAGGTGATAGCATAGCTTCAAGCGTCTTCAAAGCTACTTGTCATAATCCAAAAATAATAGTCTTAACAATTAGTGACTTAATCAAAGCTTATCTTCCCAGTATTTCTACTACATTCATAGCCATTACGATATTTCAGTTATATAAAATGGAATTCAGATAAAGCAGTAAATGTTTAACAAAAGAAAAAACAAGTCCAATGTTTATTTAGGAAGGTTGTTTTGTTTTAAAATACTGAAATCGTAGTATATTACAACATGGTTCAAATATGCCATGGAACAAACTATGTTTCTAAAATGTGACAGGAACATTGAGGACATGTGATGTCATGTAATTGACATACAAACAGCATCAATGTCAACATCGTAGAAAGAATTCACTGTAGAAAACTTCCACCAGAGAAAGCAATTGGAATATGTAATCTCAGGACTCTCTTCCTTTATACCTTGTGGAATTGATGTGGGCTGGTAAGAGGTCTCCGACAGCTGGTATGTTGGCAGGGTCGGCATGGCAGTGGGAGGGAATCCCCCCGGAATGAGATGGTTGAAAGCCATCAGTTGATTGGCCCCAGCTTGCTTCCTCCATCTTGCACGGCGGTTGCTAAACCAGACCTATGGATTTAATTTAAAATTTGAGGATTTCACCGATGAAATAATAGTACATTCTTAATGAATTTTTCATGCTAAAATAGATTAAAGGCCCCTTACTGACAGGGCAAATAGATGTAAGAGCTCTCCATCTTTGGTGTTGTTTAAGAGTATTGTCAGGGGTGAAAGGAGAGTTAAATGTCAGAGGTCAAGATGGGGACTGCAAGAACCATCCCTGATCATGCCTCAGCTCCCACAAAACTCATGATGACCATGGGCAGGGATCAATGAGCAACAGTAGGAACAATAAGAACCCCCACTACCGCCATCAACTCCCACCACCTTCATTAGTACAGCCTTCTCGGAAATCCGTGAGCCTCTGTGACCCCCACATGTCTTAAATTTGGCCTTGCTTATTATATACATCAAACCTCATGTTTTAAATTCTTATCAGTCTGTCTCTGTATGTCTATAATCATTATGGGCATAGCTCCTAGAGAGTCACATCCATTGAACAAGAGGATAAAGAAATGGAGCCACTTACCATCTCTTTCAAGGTGTGAGATGCTATACTGATCTCAACAGAAAGAAATGTTTCAAAAAAATGAAAGCATTTTGTATCTAAAATAATTAGTCTATTATTTCTTCCAACAACAGTTCTAAGCACCCATAATACTCTATGTCAGGCACTCTGCTATCTAATGCCCTGATGTTCAAAAAAACCTGATGTAATAAAACAATGTGCCTTCTAGAAATTCAAAGCCCAGGTATTCTGTACGTGTGTCAACAGAGAGGAAAGGCAAAAGTACCAACAAGAGATGGAACTGAACATCTGAAATGTTGAAAAAGTGATAGAAGGCCTTTAGTGGGCCTTATGAACTCCCCCAACTCACACCTGCAGAATTTAAAAGTGGAACTTGAAGGCAGTTTTCTAGGGCATATACATGATGTTTATCTCAAAATGAAAAATCCTTTCTACCAATTAAAGATATTCTAATTTTTGTATTAAGTTTATTGGAACAATGTGAAGGAAACATTGCCCTTGGGGTTGGAGGGATTAAGGAAGAACAAGGTAGGACCCCTGCACTCAAGTAGCTTCCATCCTTGTCCTCATGAAGCCCACAGAGAATTTAGGGAGCCCAAAACAATTGTTCACTAGAGGTAGAAATTCCATATTTAGAAGTGCAGACAATCAGGAAAACCTTACGGCAAGGCAAAGTTTCAGCACACTTTAAATTTGGACATGATTTCCACAGGGATCTATATAGAGGGAGGTTAGAAAAACTTGATCAACCTGTTTAAAACAAGACAGGACTTAGATTGGGGTATAGTCAGTGGGAGAGCCCTTGGCTAGTATGTGTGAGGTGCCGGGTTCCATCCTTAGGACTAAAACAAAGAAGAAAAGAAAAAAGAAAAGATGGAATTTGATTTCTTCATAAGATAATGTTAACAACTATAAAACTTGATGGTAATTTTAAAATCATATGATTTAAGAAAAAGATTTCTTCCCTCTGGAGCAGGAAACCCAATTTAGCAAATTGGGCACATGCTCAGACTTCTATTACTCAATCAGGCATTTGTCTGAAAAGGGTTTGTCTTCTCCAGTCATTTTTGCAAGATACTGGTAAGAAAAGTGATTTGAACTTCCAAAAAATATTAACATTTAATATTCCTTATGTTTCCAAAGGGAAGAGAAGATAAGTCAATATTTTCCCAGGTCAACACATAATTGAATTAGAGTTTTGCTTAACCTAATAAATTGCCACCTGGGGTAACAGAACCATGAGCCCTGGATTTCAGGTCTATATCAATTGTGTTTTCCCTCTTGAGCTTAAGTGCCTATTACCATGACTACCAGAGGCATCATGGGAAGAAAAGCACTTTCAAGAAAGAGCTTGGAACAAGTCAAATGAGCCTGAGGAGGCTGAGAGTAAGGATTTAGGCTCATGTTCATACACGAGTGTACTGTACCATGCCACCCACTGTGGTCATAACTTTATAAAGACACTTCTGGCTCAGACAAGTGGTTCCCCAAACTCTCTGTCGTGCATTTCCACCTTTATGTGCTTGGCTGAGAAGTGAATTCTCAGAGTTCTGATATGACTTGAAGTCATGCTTCTTTACCATTCTCTATTCCAGTGAGATACTCCATGAAGAGCTGAACAACCAATGCCTGAATCGTTATCTAGCAGGTGCCAAGCTCTCTCACCCACTTCCTTCTGTAAACTTTATGTTTGTTTGTGCTTTGAATCAAGTTATTCATTTTTTTATTTCTTTTATTCATATGTGCATACAATGTTTGGGTCATTTCTCCCTCCTTCCCCCCGCCCCTTCCCTTTCCCCTGCCCCCTCCCTTTCCCCCCACCCCCTCGATACCCAGCAGAAACTATTTTGCCCTTATCTCTAATTTTGTTGTAGAGAGAGTATAAGCAATAATAGGAAGGAACAAGGGTTTTTGCTGGTTGAGATAAGGATAGCTATACAGGGAGTTGGCTCGCATTGCTTTCCTGTGCATATGTGTTACATTCTAAATTAATTCTTCTGGAACTATTCTGTAAACTTTAGATAAGTAAACCAGGTTTGACTTACCCAAGGTGACTATGCCTCATCTCCCCATGAACTCTAACCTACCATTGATTCAAGGTTCTAACTGTACCATAACCTAATTTGTAAAAGTAAAAATAGTCTTTGCTGACATAATAAAGAAGATAAAACATCATCACTTTCTATAAATATCTTCAAATGATAGAAGTCAAACAAGATTAAGGGATTAAAGAATTGAAGTTTGTGTTCATTTTTTTTTCTAAAATGACACAAATAAGTATCGAAGACATCAAATAAATCCAGCGGGAATTTATTTAAAAGTTCTTGTATTTATCATATAATACATCTACAATGAAAAAATGAAGAGAAGGTGCTAGGGTATGTGGCTCAGTGATAGAGTGCTTGCTGAGCATGTAAGAAACCCTGGGTTTGATCCCCAGCATTGAGAGAGAGACAGGGACAGAGAGAGAGAGAGAGACAAATAATTGAAAAGCAAATCTTTACTGAAAAACAAAACTTTCGTCAGGAGATTTAAAAGTTTCCCAAAGGAAAGAACTTAAATATTGTTTAAATTTAGGGTAAATAAATCCAGTGGGCTATTCCTGAGAGAACTGGCTTAGTGAGGACTGGCCTACCTGTCCCTGGTCATTTAGTCAGATTTTTTTAAATCACCTTATCAATGTCAACCTTCTGCATTTCCTGGAACTAGCTGAGCCTGTCAAAAGAAGCATTAAAGGAAAAGTAGATGAAGGTTGAAAATCGAGAAGCAGTCCTTGCCTTCTCTATGTTTCAAAACTCAGAAAACATATCTCAATTTTTAGTTTGAAAAGGGTACCCTTGAAATAACCTTGGAACTAGAAGTCTTAAATTAGTCCATATAGGATCACTGATTCCTAAAAGACAATCAATGCATAATCTACTGAGATGGACAGGTGTGTGACACTGATCAGTTACGTTTACTAGAAATTTCTCCTTATTATAAAAACAATAATAATAGCAACAGAAACAAACTCACCTTTGATATTCTGAGAGGGAATATGACTTTTCACCAATGTCTTTGCCAGAAAGAACAAGTTTTGCAAAGTCAGGTATGTACCTGTTCACTGCAATTCTGGGGTCTGTAGTCCAGTGTAATTTTATTCTTTCCTATTTATTTATTTATTACTACATTACCTGGACTTCCACATCACCCTGTACATGAAAGGAAGTAAGGGCAGGAGCCACATGTTGGTTGATAACCTACTATTGGGCAGAGCAAATTGCATATACATCACAATACATGAAAATGTCTTCAAAGAAATTTTTTTTTTCATTTAATGAACTGCAGCCTGGTTCATTTTCATCTGCTCCTGGACTTTTCTCTTCTTTAATGTCTTTCTACTGGGTCCATCTGTACAGCTGTACTAAGGCCTCTTGGAAAATGATCTTTGCAGGGATTTCTGGAGTAATATAATGCCAATGATTATTTGAGGCAAAAAATAATTGGTCAAAAGCTCCTCATAACATAATGAGTGCTAGAAAAAAAGATAATGAACTGCAAAAGAGGAATAAGATTTTTCATGGATTTTTCTCTTCATGAGTAAAGCAACCAATTTGTTCAGACTCTCAACAATAGAAGCTGGGGAAAACTTAGTACTTTCCACAGTAAGAATACAGCAATGCTTCTTACTCGGATGGATTTAGTGCAGACAGGCAAAAGTCAAATCCCAGGTCCCTGATGTGCTACTTCTGTGACCTTGAACAATTTGCCTAATATCTGTGGGCCTCTGTTTTCTCATCTGTTAAATGGGGAATACAAAAATTTACTTCACAAGATTGTTGTGATAATTAGGTATGAGCCTAATTTTTCCCATCAATAAATTACTGGTTCCAATTTTTGGTGTTATCTTCAAAGTCAATCTCACATACGTTATTCCAGGTGGATTATTTCAAATACAACTTGAAAAACGGGGAGAAAAATGAGACAGTTCATCCTTAGAAAGAGAATTCACAAGATTACAAAATGCCTGATTAAACACTAAGGTTCCATGATGTGTGATGCTACCATGCCAAGTATAGGACTTTCCAAATAGGTAAATCTGGGACACATTGCTTGTTCTTCAGGATCCTCTCATTCATTCCCATCTCCTTTCTCTTCCTATGCCAGCCCCTCCCCAACTCCCCTATCATTGCTGCTCTCCAGCTTTGACCACCGTATGGAGAGCAGATTGAAGAGAAATGCCATGTTCCCACGCATGTAGAGGACCATGAACTTACAAGAAAAAGCCCATCAACTTGCATCTTGATATATAAAGATGAAGCTCTCAAAGACAGCTACAGGATGCCCATATTTTTGCTTCATTATGGAGTTCAAGATATTCCCTACCTGCCCTAAGTTGCAAACTACATAGATCTGTTAGGTGACTTTAAATCTCCATATGCATGTAGTAAAAGAAAATAATGATATCCACTAAAAATTGCTTTTAAATGGGGGGAGAGAGATAAGAAAGTAATAGAGGGAATCAATTTGATCAAAGTACATTGTGTGTATGTATGGAAATATTACAGTATAACCCCTGTATGCAATTAATATACTCTAATAAAAAAAAGAGAGAGTGAAATCTTTATTGGGCTTTCCTAAGAAGCCCAAATTACTAATCAAAAGGGTCCTGAAAAACTGGAGAACATAATTGAGTGAGGTTAGCCTGGCCCAAAAGACCAAAAATCGTATGTTCTCCCTCATATGCGGACATGACCCAAACATTGTATGCACATATAAATAAATTTTTAAAAAGGGTTCTGAGAAGTCATGCATCTTCGTAGCTTTTAATTTGGGAATGGGGGAGAGATGATATTTGAGAATATAAGGAAATCCAGGGACTCTATCTCTATTTAACGCTTGTATATTCACACACAAACACACTCAGGCACAAGACCTTCCTTACAAATCTCAAGTGTCACAGATTTCCTAAAGTCATCCATGATTATACTGGTGGTCCAGATCACCTGCCATAGTTTTAAAATTTAAAAAAAACAAAAAACTGAAGCCCAACAGGATTAAACAACTTGCTCACCAAAATACTTTTGGAACACTAGGACCCAAGCCCACATCTTCTGACTCCTGGTTAAATGCTAGTAGCTTTTCCTTCTCTCTTCCATTATCTTGATAGTAAGCTACTTGCCCACTTCATGAGATTCTAAGCTGAAATATGTACAAAAACTTCTGTACATCAGAAATACCTGCAAGTAGCTCTGTCTCGAAAAACTTTAACGCTTGTCATTATTTGGGTATGAATTCAGCAAAGTCTTTTTTTCCCGCTTCTAACATTATTTTCTAGGCAAATAGACTTTGGTATATAACAGTTCTTGGATTGTGTGTTCAGATTTGACTGAGTAATACAACATAGCTACTGTCCAAATGAATTGTTACAAAACACTGACAAAGGCCTGAGTTATTTCAGCTTTGGTCTCATCCCTGCCCAGGAAAGTCTAGAAATATTTTTCCTCTGGGGGAAAAAATGGAACGTAGACACAGTTTGGAGCTTTTGGGGTTTGGGGCTTGGTTTTCCCAGGTGCCCCAAATTAAACTAACTCACACTTTCTGGCTATCACTCAAAATGAGTTGACTCAGCTACTGCTTTCCCAGATCCTTCTAAAAACGAAAGGCTTTTCTTCTGGCATTTTAATCAGTGATTAACTACTCCCTTCTTCTTCCTGCTGGGTTAAGTAAAAGATCCATATGCTGGGTGTTCTAGGGAATTTGCTAGGCTGTAGATCATAGCCTAGTGCAAGGCATGATGTGTCTCAAGGGAGCTAACGAAGCCATGAGGAATGTAAAGAGTCACTGGGTTAAAGCCACATTAAGACAGCTGTCACATTAATGAGGGCCCTGCTTTGGAAGGGAGGTCACTGTATAGAAAAATATGAACTGCTCTTTATTGGTTTGATCCCATGTCCTCTGAAAGTTAATGGGCCATTATTATCATCCTTCGATATTCATTGAGCCAGATAAGAGTGCTGGTATCATACAAGCTACGTGGATTTGAAACTTACTCTTTCTCCCATCCTCGTGTTTGACAAGGGCAACAATGAGGTAGAGCAACCTTGAATTCTCATCAGTTTTGCATCACCCTCTTGAAAATAAAAGTTTATTTTTTGATTCACACTGAGTTGAGAAGTGATCACGGATCTATCTGAAGAACAGACCTAATATGTGGATATGGCCAGCCATGGAATATAGCCTCTAAATCCTGAAATACAGTGGACTCAATGAGCAATGACTGGACCACACTTCACATTTAAACCAGGCAATGACAGAGCTGTAACGACAGAAAAATAGATGTTGTATATATGTGATTTATATCTATTTCTATAATACTGTAATGTTATACATATATAATGTATATGTATAAAATTATCATATATATAACAATATATATAATATATGTATAACATTACAGTATTATAGAACTACCGACTTCCTCTACCCACTTCACTGGGATACAGAATAAACTCACTATGGTTCACGGCTAATGGTGGTCATCATTATACTCTGCGATACCAAGGAAGACTCTGTACCCCATGAAATGAGTAAAGGAACTCAATAATCCAACATTAAATCATCAGTCCCATGGCCCTTGGTGTATCTGTGGCTCCTCCCTTCACCCTTCCACCCACCTCTAGTCTACACAATCAGCTGCCTACATAAACTTCTTCTCTTTCAGCACTTACCACTCTGCTTTGTTTCTACATTATTTGCATGTCTGTTTCATTACCCTCATTAGACAGCAGCTCCTGGAAAGAACTGTTTTAATTCATCTCTGCATCCCTTGGCATTCCTAACACTGTGATGCTCATATGGAAGCCTGGGTAAAAAAAAAAAATCCCTCTCCTGTGTTTGCAGCTGTAAAATGTCTGTAAAGTGCTGTGATAGGCGAGGTAGTGCACTGCATATGTGAAAATATTGATCAAGCTAGGAACTGTCAACTCACTAGTTCACTGGCCTGACTTTGACCATGAAAGTCAAGCATGTGGAATAACACATGACATTTCCAGATAAGGTAACTTCATTTTGGGGGCAGGGAGGAGTTTCAGGGTACCCTAAGTCTTTCGTAATCTATAACTAACTGGAAGGGAAACGATGATGAAATAAAAATATGTCATATCTATGTAGCTTTTTCTAGATTCTCAGAGCACTTACCATGAGTTCAAAAGGTAATTCAGCATGGTCCTAAAATAATAAACTTACTTGAAGAGCTTCCAGGCTACGAAATTTTAAAGAAAGGGATTTTATTTTATGTTCCCTTGCAGTTTCCTAATGGAAAGGCTGCAGAGGAGGTGTGTGAGATGAGAGCCGCCTATCTTCTTACGAGCTAGGCAGCTGTGCATCCTTGGGTAGTTACTAACAGGTTCGTTTCCACTTCTTCATCTATAATCTGGGTGCAGTAATAGTGTCACTCTACGGTTTTACAGGTGGCTAAATGAGTTAATTCATGTAAATCACTTAAAATAGTGCCCAGCACAGAATAACCACTCAAAATGTATTTGCTATTCCCTATAAACAATCCTCAAAGTACGTATAGTACCTGGCTCGCTATAAGAATTCCTGAAATGCAGAGGTTGAGCTGACCTAAGTATGCCCACAGCAGGGATGCATGGAGAAGCCCCTTTGAACATTGACTTAGGAATCAACAATGAAAGACAGGACTGTACAACAGGTTCAGTGGCGGGGAGGTACTTGTGAGAGGCTGGAGAGTGAATGGAGGGGACGAAGGTGAGGGGATCTGGTTGATGGGCTTCAAATACATATATGAAATAGAAAATGAAACCTCTTGCAATTGCTCTGACTGGGAAAGGGAGGAGGTCTAGGTACAATGTAAGCCTATTGGGAATTGTCACAATGAATCCCCCTGTACAATGAATATATCCTAATAAAAATGAAAAAAAGAATTCCTGAAATGTTGAGTAAGTATGAATAAAACGAACTTCTACATGTCATCAGTGACATAATCATTTCTTTTAGTAATCAGAACCAAATAGCCTAATCATAGTAACCAAAGCCTAAAGCTTGGCGGTCACATTAAGGGCCGTTCCTGATGGAGATATTTTCTTGACTTAAACCAGGTTTTAGATGAGGAGCTACTTTCTGGTTTCCTCCCTGGATCGAGGCGGCCTGGGTGTTTGGACATCAGTACCTGCACTCGGGCCTCAGTGAGCTTCGCCCTCTGGGCCAGCTCCTCCCTCGTGTAGATGTCAGGGTAGTGAGTTCTCTCAAAAGCTCGCTCCAGTTCTTCCAGCTGCTCGGCTGTGAAGGTGGTTCGACTCCTGCGCTGTTTCCTCTTCAGTGGTAAATCTGGTTCCGAGTCAATGTCAGAGCCTTCATCTGACTGGGGTGCTGAGGCTAAAAGCACAGGAGGAGAATAAACACGATGAAATCTGAATCAAAAGCACGTCTGACCAAGCCGCAGGATTGAAATCCTCAAGTACTTTCCATGAACGCCAAGCCTTCCGTGAACACCGTTAAATGATATTTAATCTCTTCTCCCACCCCATCTCCCTGCTCCTCAGGCAGAAATACTTGCTCTGGCATCTGTCTTCTGAGCTCTTAGAGAACAGGGAAACACCTTAGTCCACTTTTGTACTTAGCACCTAATGGTACTCTAGTCTATCTGAGTCCAGTGAATGAATCATATTCACTTGTTTTCTTCTTTATTCTGTTGCATTTGGTTTGCGATTAAACAATTGCAACTGTTTGCTCTGACACAGGACTGTGTAAGCCCAGTCTTGGCCTTGAATTTTTAATCTTCCTGCCTCAGCCTCCCAAGTGCTGGGATTACATGATTTTGCCACCATGCCCAGCTTTTAATTTGGTTTCTGACAAATTTTAATGAGCTTTTACAATGGGAAATCTGTTAACACATGTGATTTCTTTAAAAAAAAAATCCAACATTGATTTAGTAATACCAAGCAATAGTCAATAATACCAATTGCAGGATTACTATGTATTTCTAGACCACTTCTCCAACAACAAAATCATGTTTAAATTTAGTATATCGCCACCCAATAAGAATTCAAGAATGCATCCAACAAGAAGTAGATATCATCTAATTAACTGTCCCTAAATTCAAGTTCAGAGTTTAAATGTTGGCTGAGTGGGCGGGCAGCTGCCCAGGACAGCTGCCTGACCTGAGGACCCCAGTGAAAAGAAAATGTGAGGCCCTTTAATCAAAAATTATTACAAATGTTCAGACAGCAACAACACATTAACCAGAGCCAGAGTGTGGGGCTGTCCACAGCATGGGGTCCTTCTCAATATGGGGACCTAGATGACCGCACAGGAAGGACCACTGCTCCTGAGCAGACTCTGTTGTGGTCCCTCTACAGAAAGCTTGTGTTTGCCTGCGCAGTGCCTAGAAAAGAGAAGTAGGAATAGGGAAATGAGATCAAATTTTCATGAACAATGCAATTTGTTAACATCTGTTAACATTCGTTAACAGAATTCCCATAAGAACAAGGTCAGAATCTTTATAGGAAGATACTGTGACAGAGGCTAGCAAAACTTGGGGCAAGTGGAGTGCCATTTCCAGTCCAGGGTTTGATGGGAGAAGAGTTGGCACACTTCCCTTGTTCCTGGTAGTAATGCATTAGGACTTCCACGGCAAAGAGAGCTGTAGCCATAACACAGCATCTATTGGCCTACTGAGGGTTCTAGGCTTGAGGACACACCAGATCCCGGTGCTAGGAAAGAGAGCAGCCCTTGCCAGACACTGGGGCAGTGGGCAGAGAACTGTCAAAGGGTCAGAATAGACCCTGAGACCAAAGGATGAGCCACATCAGCCATGCTCCCGAGGACATCCAAATACACTCTGAAAACTACCCAAGGAACTGAAGAAGCCTCCAGAAACAGGGCTGAAGTGTTGCTGTCACAAATGGGAACAGCAGCCAGATAACTAGATTATTTATGTCAATGTCAAGGAAACTCATTTGCACCCTCAGACCTGCTCAGATCTGGACAAGTACAGGTAGCATGAGAAGCAATGTGAAAATGCAGTATGTTCTACACTTCTAATTTCTTTTCCTTTTTGTTTTTGGCTTTTTGAGATAGTGTCTTGCTATATAGCCCAGGCTGGCCTCAAATTCACTATGTAGCCCAAGCTCATCCTGAACTTGCAATCCTCCTTCTCCTCTGTCTCAGTTTCTGCAGACCTAGGATTATAGGTGTGCTCCACCACACCCAGCCATATTTCTAATTTCTAAAACTCAAACTTAACTCTGCCCTAAAAAAATTAAAAATATCACTCTATTTTGGTATAAATTAAAAGTTGCCCCATAAAGTACACACACAAAAAGAATCCATATGTAAGATCATAAGTTTTCTAATATTTTAATACTTCTACATTCAATGAATACTTAAACACTGTGACATGAAGAGGCCCCAATAGCCAATAAGTAATATATGTAACAAATGAAAGAAAATATATTATACTTGAAAACAAATACTCATGTGTAAAAGCAAAACAGAACAATAATATACAAAGCAGCTAGTGTGTGTTAGGTATTATGTTTGGTTTTCTAATTATGCTAGCTTTTTCAGTTATATTATCTAATTTAAAACAAAATGATCTCATTCCATATTAATCTTATTTGGGGTATTAACTTTAGAAATAGACTTCCTTTAAATATTAGAGCATTTTAACGGAATATTAACATGCTAAAAACAAAATATGCCATTCAGTCATGACAAACTCCAAAAGCTTCCAGTCCAACTGGCATGCATATAGTTTTGATAAATGTGAACCAAACTCGGCAATAATGTGTACAGCAGTGGCTTTCAAACTTTTGGAGCACCAGAATCACCAGAAGGGCTTGGCAAAATGCAGACTGCTGGCTTCCCTTCTAGCCTCAGATTCAGTAGGTCTGAGCTGGGCCCTCAAATTTGCATTTCTGAACATTCCCAGGTGATTGATACTGACTCCAAATACTAAAGGATGCTTGAAGAACCACCTCTATTTAACACTGATTACTTCTTTCCCTTTCAAATTCCCAAGTACATAAAATATTTTCTACCACAATTTATCAAAACAGTTGCTTCTCCAACATGCATGTTTAAATTGTCAATAACATAATCCCTGAGAAACAAATTGTTTATTCCTCTAAGAAGACAATAAATTTACATAAAATGTTTTCCTTCCATGCTTCCGGTTTCTGTTTCTCTCACTTTTCTTTCCAAAGAGAATTCAGGTGAAAAACTGAACAGTGCTGGGGCTGGCAGAATGGCTCAAATGGCAGAGTACCTGCCTAGCAAGCATGAGGCCCTGAGTTCAAACCCCAGTCCTACCAAAAAAAAAAATAGGACTGATGGAAAAGCTACTCTTTCTGTGAAGACCAAGACTCTGCTTGCACGTTCTCTTCCTACAATCTCATTAGGATAATAGTATGTAGAAATTTTTATGTTTCCTTTGGGAGCCTCTAGGGTTATTAAATTCTCCCAAGTAAATATGATACGCCATGCAGTGTCAGGTCAATTAATCAAAATCATCTCTGGTTTCTGAAGAAAAAGACTGGTGAGATTTACAAGCACCAGCAAGAATTAATCCTGAGGGTCAAGACCACTGTGTTTCACCTATGAACATCCTCCAGAAAACAAGTTCTTTGAGCTTAAACCCTGTCTTTGCCTTGTTCACTGCTGGGACACTTGGGGTACAGTAGGTGCTAAGTTTGTGTCAAATGAATAAAAGAGAATGATAAAATTTCAGTGCTGCTAGCACTGATCTCTATTCCACTATTTTATATCTCTAAAATGGGGTCTCCACTCCTATAAGTCTCCCAACATCTATTTAGATAAGCCAAATTGGAGGAGGGGGATCTAAGAACCCTCAAAAATTATCTGTAAACTTTTGTAAGTATTTCTATACCTGCATTTTTCTGGTACATAAGAAAACCCACCTAATTCACAGATTTGTTCCACACAGTTTTGATTGAGTGGGTCATAAAATTACAATAAATTTATAAAATCAAAAGAAATTTCAAAACCAAAAATTCCAAAGTCCTGTGTGTGTGTTCTGCAGCTCTCGGTCTGTCCCTCACTATTGTCAGTTGTGTTGAAACTGTTGTATTATCTGCTGAGTGTTTCCCTGTCCTTAATTTAGGGGAAAATCTCCTACATAACAGCAAATGGTACCCAAAAAGCAAGGTAAAGGTGAATTGCTTAATTGAAGTGATAAAGTGAAAATTTTAGATTTGTGGAAAGGCAGCATGTCTTTAGTGGGAGCTGGGTGGCGTTCTGGGAAAAATAAGCCAATCATCCGTTGTACAGAACTGAACTGAGCATGTGTAGTTTTTCCTCGGCAGTGGTCTCCTTGGAACCATATACCCATGGATACAGATACCAAGGATCTACTGTATTTGTTTTTAAAATGAAGAACTGCCACAAGCTAGCAATGAAAAGACTCAGAATTTTTTAGTTCAATAGGACAATCTTTTCCACCACAAGTTAAATTTTCTAACAAGCTAACAAATCACTACTTTTATTTCTAGAGTTCTTATTACAAAGCAATGGAAAAGTTGTATCTCACTAGGAAAACCTCATCATATCATTTCAAGAGACACTGAGGAAAGGATTTCTCTGATTTTTCTACTGGAAAAATTATTTGAATCAAGTGATCATTTTGGCAATATAAAGCCACAGTTTTACAAGTTAATTCTAACTTTTCCCCCATCAGTAAACCCCAAAAGGATGTGGGCTTTAACATATGTAAAGTCAGCAACCCAAGGTTAATTGACCAACTAGGAAAAACTAACTCTTTCTAAACATGGAAATACCACTATCTCTTATATCACTCAATAAAAATAAAATTCATTACTTACACAACAACTAAATTTGAGTCATTTAAGTCCCATTTTAATAGCACATAGAGATCATTCTGTTGACATTCATCTATCTTGTATATTCAGCTTTACTCAAGCAACTAGAACAAATTAGATACTAGATCCTAAATATCATGTGAAAGTAAAAACAAGCCTTTCTTTCAGGCAGCTTGCTAGAACAGAACTCCTAATGCTGTGACCTGGAAACTGCAAGCAATGTGTGACAGTTGGACGGTTGTCCAAATGACCAGATAAATTGCTAGGACCAAGCAACCAGATTCAATATAATCTCTTTAGACTATTACTATTGCAATAGAAGCCTTAAAATTAAGAGAGTTTCAATATACTTGAACTGCTCACTCATATTCTTCACACCCTTTACAAACAAAATGTGTTCTATTACTTAGAGATACCATTCCCAAACTTGAAATTCCAGAATGTCTCTCGTAAGGAAATGCACACATCAACACCCAATACACATCTAAAATGAAAATGTTGTTGATTTGAATTGCAAGACAATTCACAGATTTTATT